AGTTGTCGACGGCTGTTTCCACGGCTTCCCGGTCGGAATTACAAAATAGTCGTACTCGATCTGCAGCTCTTCGTGAGATATGAACGGCGCATACATTGAATCTTTCATATTCTCGTCCGGCCAGAATACTTTGCCCGTTCGATAGAATTGCATTATGTACCGGAAGATGTGACCATCTCTGTCAAAAAAGTATTCATTGTCCGTAGGCGTTATGATCATGTGCTGAAACATTTGGCCAAGGAGCGTTCTGGGATATGCTGTTAATGTGGATCTATATGTTTCAAACTATGAGCAAAAAGTTAGCCCTTATTTCGTGGGGGGGATGCAAAGCGTATATAGCATGTAACAAAAAGTTTACTAGTACCTTGACACCGCCAACATTCAGCGTTATCTGTTCCATGTTATTAACGGTGTGGAATTCAGGAATTCATTGATAACTTGGGCTTTGATTTACAGCATAAGTGTCTGTCCGAGTATTTATTGTGTTGTTGTCATACCGAAACTAACCAATGAGATATTGAAACTTTATACAGAAAAGGTTGAGCCCCGAAACTTAAATAAAAGGATCGGCTCCCCCATTGTGAGAAACGTGCTTTTTGCAGATTCGCTTTTCCTAAATAGAACACGACCGGTCAGGTCTTCTAGCTTTAATTAATAAAAGATTGATCGAATTTGCATATTGACAGCGTACATCTAATTGATTATGTAAAGTATGTAAAATGAAAGCAAATATTAGTGCGCAATTACCGGCCATGCAAACTATTTATTGATATAGAAACCTATTACTATACCGGATAGGATCATAATGACGATTTATCAAGTAGAATTTCTCGACTACTAAATAGGGATGGTAGGACACCTAACAACGAACTAAAAAGCGACGAATCTTTACCCAATTTATAAACTTATATTACGTTCTTGGGAATAGCTTCTTCGGCGATTTCAATTTCGAGTGTATTTGCTCCCCACGTACTCCGTTTTTCTCGTACAATAAATCACAAATATTTCTATTTATGGAAACTGACAGAATGACAACGTTAGATTTTTAATACATCCGTAATGTTAGGTGAAATTATGAAACATCCATTATTTCTTGGGTTAAAGATTTTTCAAGTTGAAGTTTGACACTCTCTTATTAACTGTGACAATCTTTTTAATCCTTCGTCCATGTCTGCTGTTGAGACGTTACTGTATGATACTCTAACGTATGATGATGGCCGAGGTCGAGGCAAAAATAACTGTAATTGAGGGAAAAATAGTTAGTCGTTTTGCCTACAGTTGTACAGTCGGTATACCCCCATCGCTTATATAATTCAACTGGCCAGCCGGGTAATATTTCAAGAACGTGTACTTTTTAAGAAAAGAATTTCGGTTCTTGTATATAAATACGGTAGGTAAATCAATGAATATCAACAGCTATATTGGATCGGACCGGTTGGCAAACGTACAGATCGTTACAAAAGTGTATTCTATAATAAGAATCTTATTGATGTCGCCTGACCCCTGGTGCGGAATGCCCATCACATGGTCTAGAATACTCCTGCTAAAACGAGCGGCTTTTGCTTGCAATGGCTATCCTCATAAACCCAATATAGTATAACTAACAAGTAATGTAATTGACCTTACCTCTCCAGGCACAGCCAACACCTTCTTTTCTAGAGCTTTGTTATGAATAAGATCCTTCGTGTCATCAATACCAGGAAGTTTAATCCATACAAACATCCCAGCATTTGGTACTACCCACTGAGCACAAGTTCCCGTCAAATGTCTGTTAGCACATGCGAGAAAAGCATCTCGCTTTTCCTTATACAAACTAGCCACACTGTCGGCATGTTTCAAAAACTCGTCAACACCCCACTGTTCCAGCAATTTATATATGACCATCTGAGCCAGGCTGGATGGTTGAAGATTGGTTGCCTGAGTATGCAAATTGATCCTGTCGATGATGGGTGCCGGTCCAGTCGCCCAGCCGATACGAATGCCGGCCGATAAGAGTTTCGACATTGAATCGAATCTGACAACTCTACCATCCGTGTCCATGGACAAGTAGCTCTTGATTCTTGGTGAATTGAATTGAAGATAGTAGTATGGATCATCCTCGATGATAAGAATGTTGAATTTTTGAGCATAACCATATATCTGTTGTTTCCTTTCAATCGTCGTGGAAATGCCGGTTGGATTCCCCCCAACGGGAACTGTGTAAAGAATCTTTGGAAAGCGCTGTGTGTGGTCCCAGTTATCGAGAATAGAGTAAAGGGAATCGGGGATTAATCCTTGATCGTCGGTCTCCACCTCTAAATGTAAATTGTTGATAATATTATATAACGATAGTACTATATATAGCATGTTCATTAAGTACATATACGTCATTCTTACCCACTAGATTACACGGTTGAGATCTCAAGAAAGCCAGCGTTCCTGTGTAAGTAGGATTTTCAATCAATACGTAATCATCTGGACTTATAAGCGCCTCCAGGGTCTATACGACGATAAGCGAAACGAAAATTAGAAAAGCACGTAGGATTTTTGCAAATGGACCTTAAGCATACATGGATGTTTTTACCTTTGCCAGTAAGTCTTGACTGCCTGTGCCTACACAGAGATCGAAACTCTTTGTGGGTGGTTCATGGATCGTATTCTGAAAATTGTGCAGCCATTCCCGAAGAGCTGGTAATCCTGGCTAGTGTTATTACTACTTAGAATACTTGTGGGTGTGTTCAGACTTAAACCTGTTTTTTCACAAAATTTGGTTTTTACTAACTGTTGGACCATATTGCAATGCATCAGCCATGTCGTCTCCGGCAATCGTGTAATTTTGTCCGTTGTTTAATGTAACTGTCATACTCTTAAACGGGAATGAATTGGGGTTGGGATTGCCGGCCCCAAGAGATATCTGTGTAGATAGCAAGTCGTATTATTCTCAATGTCTCGGAGAAATCCGATCATATTACAAAAGATATCGTATTAACCATTCCAGGCGTCTTGACAAGAGGGACAAGGGCACGTACTGGTTAATGTAGACTTGTATGGTTAGACATTTCCTCACAAGGAGGAGGTAATAACTGATAGTGGCATCGCTGAAATTGAACGTACTGGGAGACGGCTGTCTTGCTTTTGATACCTTTGAGAGAAAATAATCGTAATCCATTGTCATAGATTAAAAAGGTCTTTCCTTCGAAAAAATTCAAGTTTAGTGTTAATAATCACGTGAATATACGATTTAAGATTTTAAATCCGGCGATCGACTGCGCCAAAAATAAACCTAATTTTCAAACAACTAGTGAGCACGCTGACTGTTAAATTACGCAACCAAGTTCATAACTTACTCGAAAATCAACCTCTGAATTAGTAACCTCAATTATTCTTTTCACTATGAAAGCCTTTCTCGCTTCCACTGCGAATATTACTTCGGAAGTTCTTTCTTACATTCACCGAAAATTGATCTTGCTTATGTATCACAACACTATGATAGGTTCCGATTTTGGGCACCGATATATTACAGTGATAAAGATTTAAGATAACTTTAATATTACACAAACGTAATCTATTCTGGCATCAACAATTCGTAAGTGTTGTTATTATATTTACTTTGTCTGGTTTGTTTTGCATATTAATATTCCATATTACCCCGCAAGTAAATTTATTATATTCTAGCCTAGTTCAAGTATAAATGTTATGGTAAACCATTTTACAGTATAACTGACTGCATATTTTTATTAGTACAGCCGTTAAAGGTAAAAATGCCCACATGCCTTTTGTTGGCGTAACGATACCGCTTTAACTGAAGCATGTTAAGTTTGACAAGCTCGATATAAGTTTTGATCTAACATTTAGCAACTAACTGCTTTATCCATCCAAATCTCATCATAAAACGTTTGACAGGCGACAAGTTTGAGAAAACAGTTAAAAGCGAACGGTATTGGATAGCTCAACAATATCAAATAAGAATGATAGTTATCGTATGGGTTACGGAATTTAATGTTATTTGTTTGCGTTAACAGCAAAAATATTGAAATAACACTAACAATGTATATAGAAGGTTAACTTCCACTTTAATAATATGGTTGAACTTATTATTTAAATTTGCGCGCAATTTTTGAACAATCCCAATATTCATGAATTAGGATTATCAATAATGACGTTTAATAATAAGCTACTTATTAAGTATATTAAGTATACCTTTATATTAATTACTATGCTCGTGTTAAGATATTTATATTTGCATTAACTTTATTACCAAAAACCAGAATCTACTGCTTATTAAATAAACAAAATTATGCCGAATTACCCGATATCAAGACAGTTTTACAAATGCGGCAAATTTGATTAATAATCGCGTAAGGTAAAAAGTCTAGAATAACAGATAAACAGTTGTAATAATTGGAGCATAAGTTTCGATGTTCACCAGTTATGCAATTTACAATAGGTAATAAATCTCGTGATTGTTGCTGTGTCGTTGTTCGAAACCCCATCTTGACCAACAAACGCGCTGTGACATGTTTACAATATGATGCAGCAATAAATGTGTATTACGCTACTCAAAGTCTTAATTGTTATGTTCTTCAGAAAGTATTGTATTTTTTGTTCGGCTAGGAAATTCCGGTCGTACTTACTGCTAATACCCGTGACACATGATCGGATACACTGTAAGCATTGCATTGCCAAGAATGTTTGTACGACAACATATTAAATACACCAATGACTGGCTTTTTTATCACAAACATTCCGTAAACGGAAAGGCTGATGTCTCAGTTTTTTAATATTAAATGACCGAAGTTTAAACCCGTATTTTTCCTAATATCGGAATTACCGATATGGGAGTTAAGCAGACGATCGGCACGTGGATTATCCTCAATAAGCGAACTGTTACAACTCATGTAAACGGTAAACAGCACTAACAAATTTAGCTATTTTACAATCACGGGTTAAACGTGGGGACATACAGTACAATGATGACAGCACACTTATTATTATTTCTTTGTTTTACCCACAATACTCAATTTAATGAAAAATAGAAGTTTCTTTGAGATATGGGATTACGTATTTCCGTGTTACCCACAATACTCAATTTAATGAAAATGTTCTTTTTACTAAAAAGTGAAAAGTTTCTTTGAGACATGGGATTACGTATTACCGCGTTTGAAAGTCCTCTTTTAACTCTGCCAACCTTTATTGCATCGTGTAAATTATAATTTTACAAGTAACATTCCCAAAACCAAGCCATTGTGCCTTTCATAATGGCATGATGAAAACGTGAGCGATCATTACTGTAAACGATTTTGCTGCTAAACAAATATCGTTCGCCCACATTCACAATGGAATCCACTATAAAACTAACATGACACATCCAAACTTCACACAACTCTGTTGGCGAGCGTTTGCGGCAATGATCGCAACCCTGCTCAATGACTTTATCCCCTTGATCCTAGAAAGATTGCATGACAACTATGCCTGCTTATACAACTGCCTATTTGTCAGTAAATCTTGGTGTAATGTTGCAGTCGGCATACTCTGGCAAAGTCCATTCACTCGCAACATACAAGCGGCCAACCCATCCCTGCTCGTTAGCTATCTCAAATGTCTGTCAGACGAGAACAAACTCGAACTCCACAAAATGGGATTAGAGACTTTGTGGATGCATTCATCGACCATGTTCGATTATCCGCTATATCTAGAGCACCTAACCGACTTTGATCTGCGTGCTTTGCTTCTAGCGTTGTATCCGGATATCGATCCCAGGACAGAACTGGTGGTATTTACGCTACTTGTACGGATGTTTATGGATAGGAGCAGGAGGTTGAGGAAATTAGAATTGCATTACGGAAACGATTATTTTGCAACCGACATATATCGGCTGTGTGCGCAAAGACACTCTCAATTAGAATACATGTCGATATCAATGCATCATAGCAATCCCTATACTCTCGGCCATCTAGATGATGAAATATCGACTTTGCTAACCAATCAGAAGGGTCAGTTGAAGTACTTTGGAATGTGGCATGCTAACGAACATATGAGAGCGATTATGAATGCTTTGCTGAAACAGAAAAGCAGCATAGAGACTGTTGAATTCTGTTTCTGTGCGTTTGATGTTAATTCATTGATAATATGGGTGAAGCAGTTTCCCCATCTGTTGAAACTGATATTTGATAATTGTAGAGGAGTTCCACCAAATATAGACGAGTCTTTGGACGGAATGATGATGATAAATGGGTATGCAACTTCAAATTCAACAAGAATAGTCCTCACAAGGGTAATGCAGATTTGACGAATGATAATTCACCCTGTATAATCATGCACGCAATTCAAAAAAGAATTTTATAAACATTCTTTTCTGTAACACATTCGTCGTCATCATCCACTTGTCGTTATTCTGTGCTGTGAAAAAGAACAAACCACACCACCGTCTTTATCGAGACACCTTATGTTCATTGACAGCCAATCCAATAGCATCAATTTTTGAAACAAGCCAGTACGTATAAAAAACTTTTTTTTTTAATATTTATCATTCAATACACATGCATATTCACAAGTACAAATATCTAGTGTTAAACCTTTTTGTTCTCGAACCTAGCACTAGATAGTCTACCTCGGCAGTACGACAGACGGTTTGTCACATTACAGCATATTCGAACGTGAAGAATATTTCACTGACAAGCCAGCCATCTTTTTTTGGTTAGGGTTATGCATATCGAAAAGGCTACCCCGAGGGGACTACGACCTATTTTCAGATAGTAATACTATTTTCCCATATATCGATAGTTAAGAATGCCAAAGGCCTTTTGAAAAGGTCGTCTTGTATTTAATGTTGTATAATACATTTCATTTCGTTGAGAAGATGCAACTATTCGATCAGTCTCTGTAATCTTATCAATTAACCAGAACGGGTAATAAATTTGTCACATTCAAGTATCCCTTTTGTGCATATGATACTGGAGTGTTGTCATGTGTCTAACAATAACAATAAAACTAATCTTCAAGGGTCAAGGGATAATAGATAATTAATAAATGTATTTACAGATGAAGAAGGAATATTAGACAACCCATGACACCATTGCGGTTGAATTACTTGTCTATAACGAGTGTATTTCCGTGCCGCAGTTTTAGTTGACGTCATCTTATGATCGTAAGACAATCGTATTTGTGCGCAAGAAATTTCCATAAGAAAGCATCAAGGTAACAAAGCTCGCTCGGACGTACGTTCCTGCCTGGTGGAACAATTCTATTTATATACATACCAATGCCTTTTATGAAAGAAAAGAGCATTTCGGGCGAAAAATATCCGAACGACGGCCGCTTTCGGGTTTTAAAGATAAACAAAAAGTCAATAATAATAGTAACACTTTATGGTCGTCGTTATCTTCTTAATTTATTATCACTATTTTTCGCACATGCCCTTGGTGGTTATTCTATTTAGCAATTCAAACCTTTCTATTTCTTCCAATTGGCCAAGATGTTTTGAAATTTCCCAATTCATTATTATTCAATTAGTACACCCGAAAGGTTAATTTTTACTGGCAATTCTTCAATTGAACCGGGTGTACGACAATTATTATTATCCTATCCCCAAGCCTTTTCTAAAATGAGCTAATAAATTAAATCATTAGCCTAATTTGGTTAAGCAATTGATGGACGCACACGAAATTTTAATAAAGCACAAGGGTAACCGCTGCATGATTGCTTTTTGCCTGTATTTAATTCTTTCTCTCGTGCTTGCTTGCCCCACAATCTTTCCCTTCTCCCCCCCCTTTCCCCTTCCCCATTCTCTTCGTCTCGGAGACCTGCGTGCGTATCAACCGCACAGAATCTCATTCATTTTCCATATTTCCCTCCATTCATATTCCTCGCATTCAGTGCTATCCATCCACTATTATCTACCTACGCCTCTCTTAGCACTGCAAGTCATTACTTATTTTTATACATACGAAAAAGGTGGCATCAACCATTAATCTTAATATAGCAACACTATGAAGTCTTTTCGGGTACGTTTTCTAGTCTGGGACACTGTCGCCTGTCGCTCATCTCCACATGGTTTCATTTATAAATATCGACCATTCCACATTAACCATTAAATCTTGTCTATTTTTAATAGGCTTTTGCCTTTATCTCGGTAGTTGTAGTTAGTCTTTCGCTCCACGTTGAAGCAATATGCAAAGGATACGGGTCCAATTGTCCAGAGGAAGCTCCATGCTGTAATATGGGATGGTGCTCAAACGATCCCAAATTCTGTGCGTTCGGTAAGTGAACAGAACTTAGCGATTCCCAGTTTATTAAAGCACTTGTACCCATACATAGATTGAAAATTCCCCTAATTGAACCGTAATTAATCCGTATCCCCCCTCTCTCCCTTCCTCTTTCCTTTTTCGCTACAGGCTGTGAGCCAGAAAACTCCTTTAACGACAAATCATGCTATCCTGACCCTCCGTGCGTATCAATGTACGACGACTTCTCAAACAAAAGCCTTGTAAGCTGGTTTCAATGGAATGGTGATCCTAATTCCTACCACTGGACATCTGATTTCAAGCCAGACTATGCTTCATATGACGGCAATGGAAACCTATTACTCGGGTTACACTACGACGGAACGAATTTAAATGCTCAAGGACGATATCAAGGTTTCGGATCAACCGTTAGTAGTACGAGAGCTATGGAATACGGTACTGTTACTGCACGCATAAAAACCGGGTCTACAGCAAGCGGAATCGTGACGTCGTTCATTACAAAAAATACTCTCGGTGACGAAATCGATTACGAATGGGTCGGGCTTAATCCAAACGAAGTTCAGTCAAATTATTACTGGAATGGAACCTTGGACTATACAAAGGGTGCACATCATCCGGTGGGTGCAGATTCTACTGCTGATTATCACATTTATACTATCGAATGGCTCCCAGACCATATCAGGTAAAATACTTCGTTTAATCCTAAATTTGATGATTGGGCGGCGGCTGCTGTAGTGGCCTACCAAGAATTAACAACTGACAAATTCTTATTTCTTCTCCAAAACAGTTGGATCATAGATGGGAATGTTGCACGTACGGTTAACAAGGCAGACACATTTGATTCGACATTAGGCCTTTACAAATTCCCCGCCCGCCCATCCAGAATACAGCTTTCGATGTGGGACGGTGGTATGGGTGCTGATGGTACTGCAAACTGGGCTGGCAAGACGGATTGGAGTGATCAAACAAAAACCTACACAATGTCCGTTGACTGGGTCAATATCACCTGTTTCTATAATGGCAACGCATCGACACCATGGCCCCCGGCAGGTTATGGTCCACCGAAAGTAACCTCAACCAACTCTACTTCACCGCTCCAGACTCTTGGCACTAACGTGCCAGCTGCCACCCCCACTCAAGGAGGGAATCAACCTCAAATCGATACTGGTCCGGGGATGGATTACAATGCAAGCCAATTGCCCAAACTGGTTCCGGCGGTAGCTGCAACATGTTCGCTTGTTGTTGTTAGTGCGATTGTGTTTGCTATCTGGAAATATCGAAAGAGCAAGGGAGAGGATTATGTCAAGTATCCTTAAAATTTACACATACACTTGGCCGGTACTTATCTGAGAAAGAACTTCGCATGCGTCTTATGTTTTTTTACATAAACGTCGAACCATAGAATGGGTCTCGCGAATCTCTCCTTCCTTTTGTAGCACATAATAATAGAGAATACTAAAGAGGGGTGATAAAGAGGGGTGATATATATATATATTTATATTTATAATATACGGACATGTAACTTTTTTATCTCATGGTTGCAGAAACTCCAGGAGAGTATAGAAGAAAATAAACCGTATTGTATTTGTTCTTTTAATACAAATGTTAGCCATTTCTTCTCATATGTAACAGTTTTTTTTCTTGTTCACACTGTGCCATAATCATTGGTATGTATATATACAGTAAGCTCTGTCGCTATATTATAAATTAATAATCCGCAGCTAGCCCGCAGAATTCCATTTCATTTATAATAAAAAAGTTTTACAGAACAATAAATAAATGGCCAGACAAAATGTTACCCAGTTAGTATAGCAACATAGTAATAGAGAACACCGTGGAGTTACACAATTAGAACATCATCCATGCTCGTAGAGGGATGCAGTCTATTCGAGTAGTATTTCTCGCGTCTAAAGTCACACATTATAAAAAAAGGCCCTTTATAAGTTTGATTTTTATTCATTTCCTAATCTTGAAAACCACTACAACAATTACCAATGCAAGCATAAAAAGAAGAAGTTGAGATGGGCTCGTGGACTACAGTAATTCACGTAGGCCCGTTTGATCTTGACGTGAGAAAATTTATGAAGATGAATGCACAAAATAAAAAACAACAAGACAAAGACAAAGGGAAAGGAAAAGGTGTTGAGAAAAATCCAATTGACTTTATTGCAAAAATCTACATGTGCTATGGTTTGTGAAGCAGTTGGTGACTTAACTGTCAACATATCATTAGCTCAAAGGCTCTTTTTATCATTAGAGTGCAGAAGTGAAATTAGAAAGGATAAAGCGTATTATTTGCCACAGCAAACAAATATGGGGCATGCTGCAACAAAACCAGACAAAGTGAACATTTTATAAATGAGAGGCTGATTGTAAAATTGACCAGCATGGCTGATGACGTTTTGAAAAGTAATGATAGTGCTCATGGACTTGTTATTTTAATGCTCACTTTATCATACCAGAAGGTGATGAATATAAACCATAATGTGATTAATATAGGATTACCTCTATATAAAAAATTATAATATGAAACTAATTTACATTAAATCCACTATGGAACCAAAGAATTACAGCACTATTAGAAGCATCTTAAAAAAGGAACAAGGAGAAAAAATTGCTCCATATGTTTTTAAAATAAATAACACCAAAATTCTTGAAGAATATTTAGACAAAGAAAAAATCACTTATGAAATTTACCAAGAAGAAAGAAAAATAATAAGCCATAAACGAACATTAACTCCAACTTATGATGAACCAAGAAAAAAACGAAAATTAGAAGACAGGTAAGGGAAAGCAGTTTAGCATTCCTTATAATTTTTGACTTGTTGATAAAGAACTGTTTGGATGCATTTATTGAGATTTGACCATGTTCGCTACTTTGACACAATAATGCAATTAAAGAAGGCAAGCAACGTAAAAATAATTCAATTTCTTCGTAAGCATAAATTTTATTATTCGATTATCGAATGCGCGCTCTTGAAATATAAATAATAAGTAAAAGCACCAGAGTGATTGCATGGGAGGAAAATACTCGGACCCAAAGCCATTGATGAGTATAACCTATTCTTTGGTCGCTCTGGTGCAAATTTAAAGTTCATTATCTTCTTTTATATCACTATTATTAATAATATCGTCACTATCATCTATTTCTTTATTTTTATTAATCCATTCTTCGATAGCTTCTAGTGTTCTCTTCCTTGGATTCGTTTTTCGTTTGTAAAAGTTTTTCAACGTGGAGGCTGCAACGCCTTTTTCATCGCGTAACTCGCGGATTTCAGTGGCCGTTTGATGAAATGAAAATTTCGGATCCAGCCCGGCTTTTTTGTCAAACACGTTTTTAAAGCTCTTCCACAGTTTTTCGATGTCTGGCAAGTAACTTCGTTCGCCGAATGGTTTACTTGGTTTGTTATTATGCCTTTTTTTAGGCTCGATTAAATTGATTATTTTATCAATTTTTTGGTTTATGTCGTAAAGTTTATTTTGATGGAGTGTATAATAAAGCATGAAGCTGAGAACTCCGATCAGTAATCCACAGTAAAATTTGCTGGGGAAAATGAGCATTTTCAATTTGTTTGAGTCAAAAGTGAGAAGGTGGCTTTTACAATTGATTTTGCGATCAATTTAAATTGACGGTTGTTTGGTATGAAGTTGCTGTTTTTATAGTAACCTCATGCGCTCATATTAATATAGGGTAAGCCGATTTGTTAAAGTCTAGACAAAAACCGCTTGATTTATCTCTGAATCCTTTTTCTTTTGACGATAAACAAAGATTATTTCAAACACATAAAGCACATCTTGAGCGTCTTTATGGTTCTTTATGGCAGTATAACAATCGCTAATTAGTATTGGTTAGAACTATATTATGTGACAATTTAGAGACAACGTTCTATCAAACAAAGAATGTAGTCGTATGACGAAATACTAAACTAATCAAAATAGTGATACGTAATCATTCATCACGGGGCAACAATCGGACAATCTGATTTGATGATGCATAAATTGTTCCATATTCTGAATCTTTGAAACATCAATGACGCGAAAGAAAGGTAAGGTAGAGATGTGCTCAAGCTCTTGCAAATGAAACCACTGGCTAGAATTAATAAGAGATAATAACTATAG